CCCCCTGCCTGACAGCACCCAGTGAGTCAGGGCTTTTTTTTAAAGAGCTGGGGCGGGTGGGCAGCCATGGGTTGGGGCTGGGGAAGTGGACAGGGGAGGGGGGAGCAGGCAGGGGTCCCCCATGGTCCCCTCCCCCCTCCGCCAGCCATATTTACCAGCTCTGAGTCCAGCTTCATCTCCCTGCTGTAGCAGGTGGGGACTGCCCAAATCATCAAAGCTCTCCAAATCTTTGGAAAGATTTGGAGAGCTTTGAATCAATTTGGACCTTTTTATTGGTCCCCTGATTTGATTTAGATTTGGAGATTTGGCCACCAAATCAGGCTGAATCTCTTCCGAATCGAATCAGCTTCGCACAGCCCTATTTAATACAACTTCCTGTTCCATATGGAGACAAACTAGATATTTTTTGGAATTTTTCATAAAAAATGAGAGAAAAAGAACCTAACCCCACACCTCCCATCCAAACCACTGCTACCACTCTAGTGATCAAGGTATTCACCTAGCTTGAGAGCAACTCATGTCCAAACCCCCTTTTCAATAAATAACTATATATAAAATGGAACAGTTTCAACAGGCGAGACTAAAAAAGAGACTGCTTGTTTCCAATCTGGTTCTGAGGAATCAACATTTCCCAACAGAAAAAGTATACCTGGAAATTCCCAACTAGCTTTATTCCAGTTACTCAGGAGCTTAGAAACTGTTTCTGGTAGCACAGCTATGAAACAGCTGAAAATCAGATGAGCATTATGGCTAAATTGACAATAAGGACCAGATCCCACAAGGGTATGAGAACTCCCTGCTGGGTATTCTTAACTTGCAGTAAAGTCAATGGAAATTGAATGTGGTCCACAATATCCAGGCAGGAAACACCCACAGGACAACAGTTGAGCGTAACACATGTCTCCTCAGCTTCACATCTCAGCTACCAGTTTTTAAAGGGCTGATTCAACAAGGAAGATATGTACATGCTTAAATTAACATAATCTCAGGTATGTCAGAGACAAGGACCTTACTGAGGAACATGCCATAATCAAGCAAGTTAATGGAGAGCTGTTCAAGTAGATGTCACATTGAGCAGACTCCGCTTGTCTTTTGCAGAGCTCTAATATAGCTAGTATGCAATGGCTTAGGTACTATAACAATCAGGGAGAGAGGTGGGGTTAATTTTCATGATATGGCTATTCCGCTTGGAAAAGTGCTCTTTGCCTCAGCCTTCTCAGTGTAGGCCTGCTGAAATTTCCTGTGCAGACCAGGCCTGTGGATATAGTTGGTGAGTTTCCTAAATCAGCGTTGGCTCATAACACTCCCATTCAACCAGGTCCATAACTTTTCCTCAGACCAGTCTGGAGTCATGCATTTTTTCACATGTAAAATTCTTCATGCTCTTGAACCAGAATTGGAAGTTAGATGATCTCAGAAATGGATGGTCACTGATGAAGTTTTAACAGCAAGACACAGAAGACCAGCTGCCTTTTCATAGACTTGGGTAAACACAGCTTGAAAGTGACAGCATAGGTCTTTTTGCTGGCATTTAAGATGCCCCTCCAGTTCTTACTGGATGCGAGGTAGAGGCTGGATGAGGCTAGTGGCTTCAGGAAACTGGCAGACCTTAAATAAAATAGATGGAATTAGGGATGAAATCCATAATTGACAGAGAAGTGGGCTGAGTGACTCAATATGTGATTGGAATAATTGTAGACCCATTCAAAAAAAGGGAGAGGATAAACCCCGTCATCCTGGTGATAAGTGATGATACAATGGAGATCCTGTTTGAAGATTCAGTTAGCCCACTGAGTCTGTCTATCAGTCTGGGGTGGCAGGTAGAGGAGGCGAGTAGTTCAATGTTCAAATATTTAAAAAGTCCACTCCTGATCTGGTGAAAATGGCTAGAAGTCTTTCATAACAATGAAAATGTGCAGATCATAATGGTACACTGAAATGAACCATTAAGGAGGTACTCAATTCAGTGCCTTGGTGGGAGTCATCTTGCATAACAATTTCTTAAGGACCAGAATGTGGGAACAATTCCTATTATTTATCTGATGATAAGACAACAAATAAGAACTGTATTTGAATACAGCAGTGAACTATTCCAAACTGGAAAAGGAAGAAAATGTCCCAAGTGCAGTGTGCTGGTTAGCAGCATGAGAGGATGCCATGTTCCTAAAACTAAATGATCTCTGCATCAAGAGAACCATTTACTAGCAGGTTGCAACTACAGCTAGCTCTTCAGCTAGGTTCACACAGACTCACTTCCAGTTTCTTCTCTTCTGCAACAGATGCTTTTGTTCTCATGTTCAATGCTGTAACCTACACAAACTTTTTCTAATCAGGAACAGAGAAATCCTGCATGAAAATAACATGGAAGAATTAAATAGCAATGCCACTCTTCAATAAAATGGCAATGTCTTTAATTAAAAAGACATCTTTATTGTAATTTTGTCATACTGGTGTGCAAAAATATGTTTTTTTTTCTTTCTGACGTTTACAAAAAGAACACAAGTTAAAATAAGGTTACAGTCATGTGAATATGCAGTTGTTATGATGATGCATGAATCAAATATACAACTGCTGCCATTTCTTTCTACTGTATGAACAGGAAAATGATATTTTTTGCTATGATCACAATATTTAGTACATTGTAGAGAATGGCTACTTATGTCAACATTCATTATTTTACTGATATTAAACCTGGAAGCATTCTTTTAAATAACAATCTTTAGATATACAAAATGTTCAGATTCATATGAATAATTAAGTAGTTTCCTATGTAGTCTTTAAGGCACATATTTCTATACTTATTTCATTTTGGTCCAACAAATAATTTGCTGTTTCTGATACTGGCTATCCAGGTAAATGCGAATTAGGATTTTTATAAATTTCCTTATCATGTCCATAGACTTCAACAATATGGATTGTCTTCACTGTAGGTACTGCAGTCTTATGTCCTGTTACTAATATTTTAGTGGGTGCAGTTTTGTTGAACTTAGGCTGATGGTCATTTTCTCTGTAATGAGCAGAAACTGTGATGTCTCTAGTCCATTCTTCCTGGAATCTGTAAGTAAGAAGGAAATAGTCATTTTGGTTTCACTTGCTTTAGCAAACATTCAGAAGTTTCCTCTTCCATTATTTTTGTACATCAAGCATTCAGCAAACAATTTCTACTGTAACATATGGACTCATTTTCTCTATCATTAAACGTTGCCAGCAATGACTGCATCTCTTTAAAGCTAAAGCAGACTCTGAGAAGACTTGTGGTGATGCTGGTTTATTTGGGAATGGGGCAGAGGTAATTTGTTTGTTCATTTTTCATAAAAAAATAGTTCCCACATTTAATTTCAATCTCCAGAGAAAATTATTGAAATCATTTGGGTGCTGGGATGAGTGGAAAAGGCTTTCCTTCTGTCTGCTTAGTTAATTGGTGAGTTAGGGGCTCTGTAATGTGTAGTAGTTGCCAGTTCTGTTTGGAGTAGGACTGTATTAAACCCTTCAATGGCCTTTTGCCCACCTATCCTAAGGAAATTGTGATTGGCAGAGACACACGAGTTGGACTCCCCTCAGCATAACGCAGAAAGAGGACTGCTACCTGGGCATTCTCCTTATGGAATTCATCCCCCCTTTCCTACTCTCAACGAACCTGAATTTGTTGATCTTCAGAGTATGCTGCAAGGCTCATGTGCCTTACTGGGCCATTAGGAAAGCTAGCATCTAGCTGGGGAGCATTGAGATTAGAAGCATCATGGGTTGCCGAATGAAACATCTCATAACAGAATCCTGTGCTCTTGGGGCTAGACTGTTATTGATGTCCACATGAGCTAGTTTGGATAAGTCTACAAGCTAAAATCACACCATAGGGAGCCTAATCTACACTTTGAAATTGTGCTCTTACAGCTATTTCAGTTGCAACTGTAAACTTTTAATGCAGTGGTACCCAAACTTTCAGCCCTGTAGCCCAGATGAGTAGTGCTGGGTCCATCCACAGGTCAGACAGAGTCCATGGGTCCAATCCAACATGCACTGGATTTGGTCCTGGCCCCACATGTGCCAGATCTGGCCCATCATCCTAGTTCTGGCCCCAGTCCCAGCCCTGCCCATGCCAGATCAGGCCTATGGCCTCAGGCCCAGCCCCAGCCTCTTGTTTACCAGATCAAACCTGCTGCTCCATCCCTGTGCATGTGAAATTCGACCACTGGGCATTTGTACGCATGCTTGTGCCGCAGTGTCAGGTGCTTTTAAAAAGTGCCCAGCACTGTGGCACATGAATTTCTATAAGCAGCGAAATGTGTGAGAGACCTGAGAAAATGACAGTGGCGCACTTTTGAACTAAAACACATCAAAAGTGTTTTAGTTCAAAAGCACACCACTGCCATTTTCTCAGTGCTCACGCACATTTTGCTATTTATACAAACGTATGCAATGCAGGGCTGGGCACGTCAGCTTGTGTGTGGTGCAGCCTCGATTAATCGAGTCTGCTCCAACATGCTAAATCTCTGGTGCGTTGGAGCAAACAAATGTATTTGTATAAATGTCCACTGTGCTGGCCAGATTTAGCACCCAGGGCCATGACATTTTGCCTGCAGGGCTTGGAAATTGAGCAACAAGGAGTGGCAGTGGCAAAGTTAACAGGGGAATTAGGTATATTGGTACAAGGCCTGATTTGGATGCAAATAGACTGCTACAAAGTAGTCTTTTGCCAGTAGTTATCTATTTACTTCCCCATATGGGGACAGGCTGAATGGCATGGTTGACATGTAGAGAACTCCTCAGACCCCACTCTGCTTGCACTCAAATATTGACATGTGAAGCCTTTGTGACTGTTCAACTGCAGCCATGAAAAGGAATGTGCCTGGGAAAAGGCTGCCACTGTTAGCTCCTATTAGGGCATTTCATGGGCTGAGGAGACTGCACCAGACATCACAGTAGCTTCAGCTCCACTGCCTTCAAACTCCCAGCAAGACTTTGCTAGATGGAGACAGAGCAACAGGCAGAGGTGAGTCTATAAACCAGGGGTGGGCAAAATGAGGCCCGCGGGCCAGATGCGGCCTGCCAGGCCATTCTATCCGGCCTGCGGGGCCCCTAAAAAATTTAGAAAATGAACAGTTATCTGCCCCTGGCTACCTGTCATGTGGCCCTCAATGGCTTGCCAAAACTCAGTAAGTGGCCCTCCACCTGAAATAATTGCCCAGCCCTGCTATAAAGAGTCATACTGCAAACAGTGCCATAGACAGAATTCCCCTCTTCCATGCAGATGGGGAAGAGCTGAAACCTGTGAACTTCCCAGTGAGCACCTGGGCCTCACAATTGTGTTTGTGCCTGAGGTGCTAACTGCCTATCAAAATGCTATGTCTGCACAGAGGCTTTCAGGGAGGGTGCTGCATACTTTTGTAAGTTCAAGTAAATGATAAAAATGGTTCTGTACACTGACGAGAAAGATTTCAAACTGGTTTTCAAGCAGGTATCGCTTTGATTTGCCACCTGTAAACCACTTCAAGAACTTCAGAAAAGCTCTCTGATGTACTTTGGAAATGGAAGTAGTTTCTCAGAATACCCCACCCCGCCTACACACACACACACACACACACACAGAGCCTTCTGCTTCAGTAACTCAGGGTATCAGGAGAGGAAATAAATACATTACTGGCAGGAAGTACGGTGGGCGTGTAAAGACTGTTTATTCAGCACAAAGTACTACAAAATACAAGATTCAACACTGCTCTACGTGCAGCTGCAGAATATTGGTTGCAGATCACCACCTGCATAAGGACATAAGATGAGCACTCCCCATTTGTACTTACAGATCCTGGTGTACAGGATCTGTGCACCAAACCAAGCTGCTTCTGGGTCACCAGTGAGTGGGGAAAAAAATAGAAATCACATAGCCTTTATTCACTCTCAGCCCAAACGACTGTGGAGATGTGCCATGGTACACCAATATGTAGCACTCCAGAAAACATGCATTCATCTTTCTTTGAACAATCCAACCACAAGCTAACGTCTGGATACACAGGGCTAGGTAATATTCCTTTCTCTTGCCTATCAGTGCATTACTATTTCAATCCACTTTCCACATTCCTTGACTGTCTGATTTCCAAGTCACTCAGGAGGCTGGACCTGGGTTGAGGTGATACTGACCAGAGGGTATCCACACTTTGACACCCCCCAGGGCTCCCAGGGTGTTCAGATCAGGTGGATATGATCACATACTCTTGAGACTTCAGACTGAAAAAAAAGAAGACTGCAATGTGTCTATAAAAAAAGGAAGCAGTTACTGGCAGAAGTAAAATAGGGCACCTTATGCTGCCTAGGGCATATGCTTTTCATGGGAGGGAGGAAGTGGGGGCTCCAATCCACTCACCCCACCCTCCAGCAGACTGGGCAAACCCCAGAGAGAACTCCCTCCCGTCCCTTCTCCCCCTCCCATTCTGAAGACAGAGCCAGGAGCAAGGCTGGGCTGTGTCAGGCAAGCCCTGCTCCTGGTATGGGCTGACACAAGTTAATGAAGGCACTCCCCTTTGGAGGTGTAGGTTGTAGCCTTGTTGATCTAAGGACATAGGCAGATGAGGTTATTTGGGTAAATCTGATATCTTTTATTAGACCAACTCAAGTAGTTGGAAAAATATTTCTTTATAAGCTTTTGGGTGAAATTACCCTTCATCAGGCAAAGGAAATGTCTTCAGATAGTCTATGCTCTTCCTGGATGGAGTATGCAAGAAAGCCAGTCAGTTAAACTGTAAATGGAGGTGGCCAATCGGTGAGAGACAGATGGGGGTGGTGTGAGAAAGAGAATGAATGTACAGAGAGACAAATGAATGTTAGCAGGGGAATTAGAAACAGGAGGGTAGGGGAAGGGAATGAATATAGCTGGTACAAAGTGGAGGGTTTACCTGAGGAGTCTGATTTTAGGCAGGTTATAATGTGTCATAAATACAATATCTATATTTATTCCTTGATTTTTTGTATCTGGTAGACTGATGAAGTGAAGTTCATAAGTTTGTCTGTGTTTTGTAAATTCCCTTTGAAGATTAGAACTGAGAGATTGGAGAGAGAGTGGTTTTCTTGTGAGAAGTGTGTCCCTACAGGTAATTAGATATTCTTGTCTCTGATACATTTTCGATATGTGTTCATTCTGGTACACAGTTGATGTTTGAGTTCTCCTACATATTTCCCATCAGGGCATTTGGTGCATTGGATGAGATATATTAGATTTCTGGAGGTGCGGGTGTCAGACACATGAATGGTGATGGCTCTGTTGTGGAGGTGTGTTGGCAGATTTTACATTTCTTGTCATGGAATGGCCTGGATCCATTTGGTGTGTTTTGGGCCCTAGGAAGTTTGCTTCTGGTGATGAGGTTGGTGAGGTTTGGTGCTTGTTTGAAGGCTAAGATGGGTGGTTCTGGGAAGATTGCTTTAAAAATTGGGTCATCTTCTAGTATAGGTTGCAATTGTTTTAGGATTTTCCATATAGGTTCCAGGGAGGGATGATATGTCATAACCAGTGGTGTGAGATTCATGGGGGGTTCTCTCCTATACTGAAGCAATTCTTCACATGGTATCTGGGTGGCTCTTTCAAAAGTGCAATCTCTCTCTCTGGAGGAGTGTCCTTCTTGAGTGAAGGCCCTTTTGAGATTTGTGAGGTGACGATCCCAGGTGTTCTCTTTGGTGCAAAGTTGGTGGTATTGGAGGGCCTGGCTGTACATTACAGATTTCTCGGTGTGTTTACAGTGATTGCTGGTTCTGTTCAGCTATGTGTGTTGGTCCATGGGTTTCTTGTATCTGGTGTCTGTCTTTTACCACTCCGGATAGTGACCATCATGTCTAAAAAGGAAACGCTGGGGTTGGAGTATTCCAGAGACAGTCTGATGGAGAGGTGATGCTTGCTGAATTTCTGATGGAAATCAATTAGAGATTGCAAGTTTTCAGTCCAAATGATGAAGATGTTATCAATGTATCTTAAGTATAGCAAGGGTTTGATGGTGCAGTCTGTAGCCTACTGTGCCATTAACCCGTGTGTCGTGTCCGTAGGGCCTTTTCTGGTTTTGCCGTTGCTTAAGGAAG